TGAAATCGGTGATCAAGGAGCACAACATCTTGGCAATGCTCTACAAACCAACAAAGTAACAGCAATACTTATCATTCCTTCTCTTCATTTCACTTTATCATTCACGCGTTTCTCACACAGACACTCACGACACTCAAGCTTGGGTTCAATAGAATCGGTGATCAAGGTGCACAAGATCTTGCGAATGCTCTACAAATCAACAAAGTAACAGCAATACTTATCTCTCTTTCTCTTCATTTCACTTTATCATTCACACGTTTCTCACACAGACACTCACCACACTCGACATCAGAGGCAGTAGAATCGGTGATGAAGGAGCACAAGATCTTGCCAATGCTCTACAAATCAACAAAGTAACAGCAATACTTATCTCTCTTTCTCTTCATTTCACTTCATCATCCACACACTTTTCACACAGACACTCACAACACTCAACATCGGATACAATAAAATGGATCCTGATGGAAAGGAACGACTTCGGGAAATATGCAAAAAAAATGCAATACTGGATATAACTTGGTGGTGAAAATCATTAGTAACGGTGTCAACCACAAAGAGGACTGCTTTTAGTTTTTAGTGTTTATAAGCTTTCATATCGACTCAAGAAATGTATTTGATATTTTGGAGCAAGGCAAGGTTTTGTTTTCTCTTTATAGCTAGGAGAGGACATAGAAATGTAACGAATATTAAATGTTTGAAAAGTAAAGCTTGATCTAGGGCTTGATTTTTGTTGCTGTTTTACTTCAGTCGATGTTTGGTTGATATCTAACACTAGAGCCTTAATAAAGAAAGAAAGGGAAAGGGGAATTTATAAAATAGTTTGTATGTTTGTATCGTAAAATTTAAGCCGAAGACGCATTTTTGCATTGACGGACTGTTAGTGATCATATGTACATGAAGAAGTATCTACTTCTAATTGCACCAAAAGCCATTTAATATCGTTCTCGTGGTGTGGTTTTATTTTGAAACGCTAAGTAGATTTTAGTGAGTCACAAATGAAGTGTGAAGTGTACAGGTTTGGAATGTATTAGTGATAAGTTATAAGCGTATTAGTGATTGTTTGTTCAAATTAAAGAATTGCCGTGGCGTATTTTATGTATAAAAGGATAGATCAGCTATTAGCGACTCTTAAGCTCTGAGTGTCTAAATACTAATCCTTTGGAAATTTTTTTACATAGGAATGCCGGCTAAATAAAATTAGATTATACCTTTTTCAAAGTAAAAAACAAAAGACTAATAATAGTTGTGAGTATTCATAAGGAAAAACTAGGCGGACTTGATTTGAAATGCATCCGTTTTGGTTTTATCTTAAAATACGAAAGTTGAAAGACTTTTTTGAACACAAATAGTTTTATTTCTTCTTCGTTTATTTTTGACAATTTCAAGCAGTATTTCTATACCATACTTTGAGTTCATGTTTTCGTTTGAGAAAATAAAGTATCATGGATTTATTAAATTTCAACAATAACTAAAGTCAGCATGACAGACTAAACGATTAATAGTTAAAAGAATCTTTGTGTAATTTGCTATCCGAAGTGATCCGTTTGTAAAGTAAAGCCTACCCTAGAATGAAATCGTTTCGCCGCTCATACTCTCATTCACCGTCTAACTAAGTAAGATTTTGTAAATTTCGTGAGTTTTGTTAAATTGATTAATTCGAATTAGTAATTAATTTTATCTATATCATACTTTTACATTTGAAAAGATCTTTATCATTTCCATGAGTAAAGATGAAGTTCATTTCATATAAAAGATTATTTTCGATCATCGGTTTAGTATCAGAAATGCGAAAAACGATGTACATAGAGAACAGAACTTCGAAGCTGGTTTTTTTAATGCAACAAACATTACTTAAGAGTTTGTGTCTGTATATTTATTTCGAATATCAAAAATTGCACGTAAACGATCTTTTTCTCGTTCTTTCTGTACTATGAGAAATGATAGACATATTACAGTAATAGAAAGAGATGAAGTTTAAGGACAAATTCGAAAAGAAGCGAAGATTAGACGACACCCTATAGGTGAAACACACGAATCCTTGATAAAAGGATTGGAAGTACATAAAAAAATAGATAAATAATAAATGATATGGCGGTCATTTCACTTGAAGGTAAGTAACAGATCATATGAAGAAATACTAGATGTTAGTATAGATACGAATGGATTTGCAGAATGAGGAAAATTAATTGGTATGATAAATAAAATGTCTATTTCGAAAAAGATTATTGAAAGACATGAGTTTACCATTTTGGCGAAATCTTTCATCAGCAGACTAAAAAATTTTACCTAAATTTGAGTTACAGAATTATTACGATTATACGATATAAAAAAGCTTCATACATATACCACTATAATGTTATATGATTAGGATATTCTTTTTCGTAATTGATTGCTAGGGTTGCCAATTGGCGACATCTATGTTGTATTTCATTCTTAAATCTAAATTTTCTAGATTGAAGTTTTAGTTAATTTCATATAAAAATCTAAATATTTAATTTTTAAATTTTTAAATTATCCATATGATTGACTAAGTAACGAAGCAACAAGAATATACTGAATGCACCTTTCGGACAAATTTATTTTCTTTGTCCTTATGCCTAATTATCTCTTATAATAATAATATATCGCTCGAGATAAGTATTATACTTCATAGGTTTATTAATTTTTTTTACCGATAAATATTCTACAGTAAGATTTACCTTTTATAAGACTATTTTATTACAGAAAAACAACATTATTATTTCATTTTCAAAGAAAAATATAATATACTTCACATATTTTAATAAATATTCGACATCAAATTATATTTATTTTGGAATAAATA